GTGAGGGAGGGAGGGTTTGAGGTGTGTGATCCGCTCATGGACATTCTTCTGATTGGTTGGTGGCGAGATAATTGGGAGTCAACGTCATCAACCTTCTGCTTCCAACCAGTCTGGGATCTAGGTGCTTGTGGACAGCATACAGTTAACTTCTTCCTCCTGATGGCTTTTTCAGTATCTGCGAAACAGCTCAAAGGACCTGGCTCAGAATATTATCTATAGCCCTTGAAAAGCAACTGAATGTCCTTGACTTTGTTTAATGGCTAAAGTATTATTATTTTGTCTTGCTTGACTGTTTTCCTTTCTGCATTTTCTCACTTTTCTGATTAAATTTATTCTTTAACCAAAGTTTTTCTACAGACAAAAGGCAGACGGAGGACGTATGGGTGGAGAGGTCTGTTCTGGGAAGGCCCCATAGGGTCCTGCTCTGTTACACTATGACTTATTTTGCTTTGAAGAGAAGATATGTACCTTTTAGTTACCATGTATGCTTTTCTTTTGTGGGATTTAATTAAAACATTCAGTTACTCAATAAATACTTCCTGAGCACTAGCTATGCACCAGGCACTCAGGTACTAGGGGTTCAGCTGCAAAATAAAGAGACAAAAATATGTGTCTTCATAGAGCCTAAACTCTAGTTGGTGGAGACAAGCAATCAATGAGTAAAATATATAGAATGACAGAAAACTTTAAGTGCTATGAGGAAAAGTAAAGCATGGAAGCAAGATGGGGACTGCCAGGGCAGGGAACAGCAGACTGCAGTTATACATAGGATGGCAAAGAAAGGGCTGGATGAAGAGACAATAAAAATATAGTCATTAGAGCATCATTTGTGATAAAGATAAATATTGGCAACAACCTAGATATCTGTCTATAGGAGATTGGTTAAATATTTTATGAGGCATCTATATAGTAGAATACTATATAGCAAACAAAAAAAGTCCTACAAATACAAAATGAACTCCCAAGATATACGAAGTGATAAAAACAAGGTGCAGAATGATGTATAGCAGGGGTCCCCAACCCCCAGGCCACAAACCGGTACTGCTCTGTGGCTTCTTAGGAACCGGGGCGCACAGCAGGAGGTGAGAAGCAGGAGAGTGAGCAAAGCTTCATCTGTATTTACAGCCGCCCCTCTTCGGTCACATTACCACCTGAACTCCGCCTCCTGTCAGCATTATGGTGAGTTGTATAATTATTTCATTATATATTATAATGTAATAATAATAGAAATAAAGCACACAATAAATGCAATGTGTTTGAATCATCCCGAAACCATCCCCCCACCTTCCTCCGGTCCGTGGAAAAATTGTCTTCCACAAAACTGATCCCTGGTGCCAAAAAGTTGGGGACCACTGATATATAGAGTATGCTACCATTTATGTCTATCATATACATGATATATATATATACACATAATATTTTTATAAATGCATGGAATCAGTGGAAACATACATAAAAAACTGTTAGTAATGGCTGTCTTTGGAGTGGAGAACAGGATGATTCATGGACAGGTGAGGGTGAAATACTTTGTATCCCATTCCTATGTATATGTACTACTGTATGGTCAGGCCATTCAAGATGGCTGTTCTCTCGCTCTGTGTCCATCCCCTGCTTGACCAGTCCCTGCTTCACTCACATGACTACCCGATCCTCTTAATTATAGGGCTTAATTAGTCCCAGGAAACTGATGAGCCCATCTGACATCAATTCCCCTATAAATGGTAGCTTTTTTCTCCCCCTGAGTAGCAGAGATTATTGCCATGACCTGCCTGCTATCGGCTGTACACAGTGGGGATGTCGCTCCAGGACTTTTTGCTGCTTCAGACACGTAAGATCCCCTGTCCCATAAACTGTTGTTGTCTCTATAACTGTCTCCTGGTTCCTTCTTTGGTCTCAAGGCTGGACTACCAGGCTTTCGGGCCTGCAGGGTGCAGCCCTGCAATTGATGAGCCAGCCAGGAGGCCAAGGAAACTCTCGTGAGTGCAGAGATGTGAAGAAATGAGGACAGGGGATGGAAAATTGCAGATGTGATCTTGGGGTGGCCGCCCAGTAGCCTGTGAGGCCCTGTGGCAGCTGTCTACCATGACAGATGTCTTTCTCTTCTATTAGAGTGACGATATCCTGTTAACCTCAGAGTCTCTTTCCACTTTAAAAGTAGCAGCCCCGCGCTCGTGGCTCATCTGACTGCACGGGGATGGCTGGTGAATGCAGACAGAACACAAGGACCTGGATTATCTACAAAATGGCAGCGTACCCCCGACCCACCCCCGCTCAACGACTACAGGCACAGGCTTTAGGGATGTTAACTGAGGGACAGGATCGGGAACTGGAGTGGCCAGTTACCCGGAGGGTCTGCTTGGGCCTGTGGCAACGGCGTAATCTTAAGGGTGCCCTTGGGCCTCTGGTCCCACCTGAGGAAGGAGGCAGAGCCCTCATACAGTGTGATGGAACAGCAGCGACATGTGTCTACAATGCCACACAACAGGCGGAGGACGATACCAAAAGGCCCACCCGAGTCAGGGGGCAACGCGAAACACCACTCTTCGGGGTCGAGAACAGCTGTGTGTGGGACCTACGGGACCCACGGACGTCGATAGTGACCAAGGAACCCACATTATTGGCCGTGAGGTTCAGGAAAGGGCCGATGCAAATGAAACGTGCTGGCGTTTCCACGTGCCTTACAGCCCCACTGCTGCCGGGCTAATGCAGAGGGTGAGTGGGCCGCGTCAGCAGCAGGTGAGACGGGAAAGCCGCTCTCAACGTGTGGACACACCCCAGGAGCAATGGGCCCAGTGCCCATGCCACGTGAACCCAGAGGCCGCTAGTCCACGTCAGCCGAGTCCAGCTGTTGACCACCGAGGGATGTTGCCAACTATCGATCAGGACGATAAGTCGCTTTTGCCCTGGCCACGGCATCTACCCCCAGGGAACACATTATAAAACCGGCCCTGAGACTGGCAGGTAAGTCCCCGCGGGTTTGGGTTTGCTGCCTCGTGGGGAATAGGATTAGAAAGGGATTTACAGATCTCACCTGTCTCCTGCCCGGCCCCACCTGAGACCACTGAGGTAATGAATCCAGGCCCTGACTGAAGGAAGGCACCATCATATTAACCCCGTGGGCCTCTCCAGCATTCGGCACTGGCTGTAGGGACTGAGGGTGGAGAGGCGGGATGGTACTGCCCCCCAGGACAGGAGCCACAGGCAGGGGTGGTACTATCTCAGGATGCTGTTACTGCTTGTATTTTGTTTAATGGTCATGATCTTCCCTGCACTGTGCCTGTTATGAACATCTTACATTTTGTCCCTGACCTGAGTGGAGGGAATCTGTTCAGGAACTGGGCACAGTGGTGGCCTCACTGCAAAACGAGTCTGAGTGCTGGGTCGACAGCGAGATGCCATTGTCATTCTCCTCTGGACTTTCAGGAAAAACTGACCTTATAAGCAGCTGGCTCCAAAGTTTGCCCACTTCTTGGACTCTTGATACTCCTTAGCTGCTATTGCCTGTATCGCATTTGTGGTGTTTGGTTGCAGCGCCCTCTCTGTACCTGACCCCAAGGGTATCACGGAAGAGAGGTGGGCCAAGGTTGCAAGGGTGGTGCAGGGTCTGTAGGGGTGGAGGGTATGGTCAGGCCACTCAACATGGCTGTTCTCTTGCTCTCCGTCCATCCCCTGCTCCACCAGGCCCTGCTTCACTCACATGACTCTCCAATCCCCTTAATTACTGGGCTTCGTCAGTAACTGCCTGCATGCTTGCCCCCTGCCCCTGCCCTGGTTTCCCTGGCAACTGATAAGCCCACGTGACGTCAAGTCCCCCTCCCCCATAAGTGATAGCCTTCTTCTCCACTGAGTAGCAAAGTCTGCTGTCATGTCCTGCCAGCCGTCTGCTGCACATGGTGGGATGTCACTCCAGGACCTTTTGCTTCAGATATGTAGGATCCCCTGTCCAATAAACCACTGATGTCCCTGTTGCTGTATCCAGCCTCTTTCTTTAGTTTGGAGGCTGGGCAACTACAAGGCTTGCAGACCTGTGGGGTGCAGCCCAATAACAGTCAGAATAAATAAGACGTAAACTAAGAACATGATGACTGTGCAATTAGAAAATGATGTAAAGACACATATTTATAAAACCTGGTGACCTAGATAGCCCTCTAGCCTAGATAATGAATGAACAGGGTAGTTCATAGAAACATGGATTCACTTCTGATGAGCTGATGACCTTGTTGACAGTGACCATTTCAAAGCAATTTTATTTTTTTAAATGGAGATCTCGGCCTTTTTTTAAAAAAAAAGATTTATTTATTTATTTTTGGCTGCGTTGGGTCTTGGTTGCTGCGTGCGGGGTTTCTCCAGTTGCGGCACGCAGGGGCTGCTCTTGGTTGTGGTGCGTGGGCTTCTCATTGAGGTGGCTTTTCTTGTTGCAGAGCATGGGCTCTAGGCATGCGGGCTCAGTAGTTGTGGCTCACGGGCTCCAGAACACAGGTTCAGTAGTTGTGGCACGCAGGCTTAGTTGCTCCACAGCGTGTGGGATCTTCCCGGATCAGGGATCGAACCCGTGTCCCCTGCATTGGCCGGTGGATTCTTAACCACTGCGCCACAAGGCAGGTCCCCAAAATCTTATTTTGATTAATGCATTGTAGTTATTGTGATTGCAACGCTTAGATTTTTTTCACCTTTCTAATCAAATAGAAGCTGTATTCATTTACTAGGGCTGCCACAATGAAGCAGCACAAATACAAATGTGTTGTCTTGCAGTTCGGGAGGCTAGAAGTCAAAAACCAAGGAGTCAGCAGGGCCATGCACCCCCTGAAGCCTGTACTTGGACCTTCCTTGCCTCTTGCTAGCTTCTAGTGGTTTGGGATTCCTAGGCTTGCAGTTGTGTAATCCTCATATGTATTGTTTTCTCTGTTTGTCTTAACTTTCAGTTTCATTTTGATTCTTTTTTCCAGTAAGCAAAACTCAGACTCCACGCCCCACCCACTTCTCCTCTCACGCCAACAGTAAGCTGCTGCCTCGTTCACTCTGTGGCAGTCAGACTCTGACAGGACCATGGCCCTGATGCAGGCTCCAGGGAGCCCCAGCCCTGGGCAGACCTGCGCACTGATCCTGATCTTCACCGTGCTCCTGCAGGCCCTCTGTGTGGCCGTGACTTACGTGTACTTCACCAACGAGCTGAAGCAGGTCAGTACGATGCGCACGCTCTCTGAACAGAGGCTCTGGGCAACCCTCCGGTTAACTGCCTTTATTGGCTCCTCTAGGAAGACTTTACAGAGGAAGAGAATCCTCTCTTTCTCTGTCTGGGGACCCCAACTGCTAATGCATATCATTACTGAGGACTTTGCAAAAGCGAATTGAAGGGACTCTGTGCACAAAGTGTAGTTACAGAACTGGCTCCACCAGTTACGAGCAGATGCGGGCAACAAAACTCCTGAGGTAGTTTTGTCTTCAACAGAATGTTATAATATTAACAGCTGCCATTCATTGAGTGCTTTCTGCTTAATGCTTTATAGTTCTTGACTCAAATTCTTGGGAGTGAGAGGAACTGCATCAGGGCAGGACTGTATCCGCTTTTGCTTTCTGTGACACATCTAGGCGCTAGCACAACGCTCCCACATAGTAGGTGTTCACTAAACACTTGTTGAATGAATAACCAGCCTTCACCAATGTACTGCCAGGACAAAGGGAGTAGGGTAGGGTTGAGGCTTAACCCAAAGCCAGGCTCTAAACCACTTGTAATAATGCTGTTTTGTGTTCCAAATGTGGCTAATTCCAGTGGATTTTGAATGCAAAATTACTGAAAATAAGCCAACCCCAGGTTTTGGCTTTCTGTGTACATATTTTTTTCATTTAATTTTTTTTATTGGAGCATAGTTGATTTACAATGTTGTGTTCGTTTCCGCTGTATGGCAAAGTGAGTCAGTTACACATAGACATATATCCACTCTTTTTTTCTTTTTTAGGGTTTACAAATCTTTCTTTAATGACTCTTTAAAAATTAGCAAAACTGGTTCTACTCAAATAGAATGATATCCACTCATAAAATTTTTTTAATTTTTATTTTAAAGATTTGTTTGATGTGGACCACTTTTAAAGCCTTTATTGAACTTGTTACAATATTGCTTCTGTTTTATGTTTTGGTTTTTTGGCCATAAGGCATGTGGGATCTTAGCTCCCTGACCAGGGATTGAACCCTCACCCCCTGCATTAGAAGGCAAAGTCTTAACAAGTGGACAGCCAGGGAAGTCCCTATCCACTCTTTTTTAGATTTCTATTCCCATATAGGTCATTACAGAGTATAGAATAGCGTTCCCTGTGCTATTCAGTAGGTTCTTATTAGTTATCTATTTTATATACAGTATGTATATACAGTATGTATACATCAGTATGTATATGATGTATATATATATGTATATGTCAATCCCAGTCTCCCAATTTATCCCTCTCCCCCATTCCCCCCTGGGTTGTTTTCTACATCTGTGACTCAACTTCTGTTTTGTAAATAGGTTCATTTGTACCATTTCTTTAGATTCTACATATAAGCAATATCATATATTTGTCTTTCTCTGTCTGACTTCACTCAGTAAGACAATCTCTAGGTCCATCCATGTCACTGCAAATGGCATTATTTTGTTATTTTTTATGGCTGAGTAATATTCCATTGTATACAGTACCACATCTTCTTTATCTATTCCTCCATCAATGGACATTTAGGTTGCTTGCATGTCCTGGCTATTGTAAATAGTGCTGCAATGAACACTGGGGTGCATGTATCCTTTCAAATTATTGTTTTCTCCAGATATATGCCCAGGAGTGGGATTGCTGGATCATATGGTAGCTCTATTTTCAATTTTTTAAGGAACATCCGTACTGTTCTCCATAGTGGCTCTATCAATGTACATTCCCACCAACAGTATAGGAGTTTCGGTGTATATTTTGACTAATTGTATATTGTATAGTAGGGAACTTCGAGCTGGAAGGAATTTTGGATACCCCTCGTTGTATATTTTATAGTAGGGAACTTCGAGCTGGAAGGAATTTTGGATACCCCTCGTTGTATAAATGAGACTAGAGACTGCCAGAGAAATGACTTACCGAGTTAAGGCAGAAATTTGGAAGCAGAGCTGGACCCAGCTCAGCTCACAGGGAATGCTTCTCCCATCACAGCAGGGTGCCAGCAGGGTTAACCTATCTCCCCCTTGTGCTGAACAGCACCCTGCTGTACGGTGACAATGCAACATCAAATCTGTCAGCTGGGCAGGAAATGCAAGGCTAAGGGTCTTGGACAAATATAAAATAGTGTTTATCTGTTAAGGAAATAAATGCAGTTTGCATATCCTGTGGAGTATAAACTTTGCTCTCAACTGGTTGGGAATTTCCTTTGGAAATGAAGTGAATAAAACAAGAGTCAACAATTATACAAATGATCACTACCATTAGATGGCCAGTAAAGTCAGCTTTGTTATAGGGCAATTTCAAAGAGCCTGTATTTGTAAGAAAAAAAAAAATCAACGTGATTATAATCATGCGTTTTAGTTCTACGTCTGCCTGAGAGACTGGAATGCTGCTGTGTTTCCCAGTTTGGAGCCAGCATGTCCTAAGCTTTGTTAACTTTGCAGTATAAATAGTGAGTCTGTGTCACCATATACAAGAGGTTCCCTCAATTTGCTAACGTTACAAGTTGGCCTCATTTTAAGACTGAATCAACTCGTTATTTACTGATCTGAGTTATGCAATTGTCTGTGTACATGATCAAGTTTCTTTGAATTCTATAAAAATGGAAATTTCAAAGTTTAACATCTCCCCACTTGCACACATTTTTCCTGATTGCATGTTTATATGTGTACACTTCTGTACAGACATGCAGAAGAATTTATTAAGAGTATCAGAACGAAGAGAATTAAGAGATATTGAGCAAAAACTGTTCCAGAAACTTTCAAAATACTGCCCTATTTAATCCTCATAACAATTCTATAAAGTAAATACAGTTATCCCATTTTATAGATGAACAAACTAAGACTCAGGGAAGTTAGGTAAAAGGTGAAGCCCAATTTCGAACCCAGGCATTAAATAGGGGCTCAGTAAATGGTAACCATTGTAATCAGCATTGAGAAGTCTCTTGGAGTTGTCACCCTCTTCATCAGGAATTTACGCAAGGGAAGATGAATCTGAATCTCTTTGGGTGACTGTGTAGAGTTTGGAAAAGCATATTCAACACAAGTATTAATTTTCTAAATCAGATCACAGGTTTCACTCTGGCAAGCAAAAATTTGCAGAAGATACAGTGGGCAAGGATTATAGGGAGTGTGGGTTGAGCCGGGCTGAGGGATGTTGGATTGGACCCTCACAATTAAGCCTGTAGACCTGCGAGCATGAACAATAAATATGGGCTAAAGAGTCTAAAGTCTATGACTCTGAGAAAGTTTTATGACAAGGGGACTACCTATTGCTGTGGCATTATAGACGGGGAAGACAAAGGAGAAGGAGACCCTTATCCACTGATGTCCGTAAATGATCCTTTATGCTATTTGTGGTTTGCAGAAACTGATTGTCAGAGACTAATGTCTGGGCAGCAGAGAGGGTCAGTGCTGCCACCTTGAAGTCTCTGAGCCAGCCAGCCAGCAAAGGAGTCTACCCTGCTGACTTCAAGCCCTGCCAAGGACTGGTTGGCCCTGGCCTAGACAGTCCCACTGTTTGTGATGGCAACAGCAGCAGTTGAGTGGAATCCACTTCTCAGAACCAAGGGCAATAGCCATCTCTCTCCTTCTAGAGTTGTCCAGATAAAAATAGCACACTCGTCCCCCTGCACCCAACACCCAGATGTGGTTAGCAAGAGAACAGCCCCAGCCAGAGAAGTGCTGTAGGAAATTCAACCTCAAAGTGTGAAAGGATGTAGAAAGGAAAGGGGGAGAGAGACATCATATTAATCATCATTAATCATTCTTGGAATAACCATAGCACCACCTTGCCCATGTGTCGGTTACCTGTGTTGGCCTAGGTCTGTAGAAGAAACTACTAAATATGAAACATGTGGGGATGGGATGCAGAGTGGCTGGGGCTTTCTGTTGTTCAGAAGTCAATATGGGTTGGCCAAAAATTTCGTTCAGGGTTTGCCGTTGAAAACCCTGAACGAAATTTTTGGCCAACCCAATATAAGCATAAAAATATCTAGAAGGAGAAATAAGTTGTGATCTTTAGAGGGTAGAATTATGGGTGCCTCTTTTTAATTTTTCTATATTTTATCAAATTTCTACAGCTAATGTTGTAAAAACATCTATGCTATCCATATGATTTTCATACAGATCTAAAGAGCATGACATTTATGTATAGTCTTAAGAGAAAACAACCATATACAAAATTGCCCACACCCAGTCTAATCTCAACCCTGTAAAAAAAGAGATCAGGGCTTCCCTGGTGGCGCAGTGGTTGAAAGCCCACCTGCAGGGGACACGGGTTCGTGCCCCGGTCCGGGAAGATCCCACGTGCCGCGGAGCGGCTGGGCCCGTGAGCCATGGCCGCTGAGCCTGCGCGTCTGGAGCCTGTGCTCCACAGTGGCAGAGGCCACAACAGTGAGAGGCCCGCATACCACACACACACACAAAAAAAGAGATCATCCAAAGGTTAACTAGGAGGTGGAATGAGGGTGAATCAGAGGGTTTTATTTGTTTTACTTTAGAAAAGTATTCTATAATTTTCTATATTTTCCAGGCTGCCTGTGTATCCTCGGCGTCTTTAGGCTTCATTCAATCTGGGTTAACACTGGAGTCTCACTAGCTTGTCAGACTCCCTCCCACGTCTACTTAGGACCTTAGTTTTCAAGGTTCTCCCTCCCCACCTCCTGAAAGTGTTTCTGGAAAATCTCCAGAGGGTCTCCAGAGGCCAGCAGTTGGTCCTGACCTGGGCTGGCCCCTGCTCTCTTCCACTCTCTCAAACTCCACTTGACTTCACAGGGGCTGGCAGCTACCCTGACTGCCTGATCCCAGCACCTCTCAACTCTGCCCTGTCCTGTCCCCAGCCTCAACCTCCAGGGCCTCAGCCCTCTCATGCTGAGACAGCTTCCAACTGCTGTGAAGTAAGATGACAAGTTGCTCCCTCCCTTCTGTGTCATGCACATTGTTTTGTCCCAACAGGTTACGAAAATTAGTTAAGCCTGTTTATTCAGTTTCATCAAGTCAACGCCTGGCCAAGGCACACCCAGTCCTGCTGGGCTGGGAAATGGCAAATACAACTGTTCTTCCTGGAACTACCCTTAGGCCTTGTTGGTGAATCCAGCTCTTCTTCCCTGATCCTCCCCTCAGTTTGCTAGACATGCTCTTCTATTTCTAAATTGAGTTCCTTCCTTGGAAAGGCTTTTTAAGCTCACATAAATTGCAGATGAAAATTAATGTCTACAGTAGAAGAACATGGAGGTGGGTAGGATCAAAGGAATGGTGTCTAATTTCATCGCCAGTCATAACTCAGGTGGTCCCAGCTGTCACCCCCACTACATCTACTAGGCGAATGTTTTACTCTTGGAATTTTAAAAAGGAAGAAAGAAAAGAAACATTTACTTAAAAGTAAATGAATGTTCTATGCCAGAGTGTGGGGAAGGAATTAATTATCTCAGGTTTGTCACTTTTATGCTTGAGAGACCTGATCAAATGTCCAGGGAGTACATGGCTGACAGTACAGACCTGCATGATTCTGGCTGAAAGCTCTCGTAAATATTTAAGTTATTTTGATCTGGAATGAGATCATCTTTCTACAGGAGGGAGCAGATCATCGTTAAGTTTGATCTTTCCTTCAAGCTTTGAAGTCCCCTAAGTTCAAATAACAGATGAAAATGGCTATTTTCCCATTTATTTCCCCAGAGAAAGGCAATTCAATGGACTTGTAGAGAGAAATAACATCTCCTGAATCCCAGTTGTTAAAAATGAAAACAGGAAAAAAAAAAAAATGTGACCTTGCATGAACATCCTGTTTTTCTTCGTAAGATTAATCAGTTGTCATTCTAGAGTGCTCTGGGTGGTTTGGGGTGTGTGTGTGTGTGTGTAACATCAAGCGCAGACTTTGTCGGCAATGATCTAGGCCATTGTAAATGTTTACCCTCAATCAGAAGAAGGGAGCAAACCTTCAAATGGTGTTTCGAGTCTCTGCAGGTAAATCCCTAGCTGGTGTGGACATTCAAACGTCTAGTGGCAACGTAGTCTGGCTTCTGCCGTCCAGAGGTTTAGAAATCACCACAATAACTAGAATCTACTAAGACAATCAAAGCTCAGATCAAGAAACAGAATATTACCTGCACCCTAAAGACTTTGGCTAATTTTTTATTTAGGATCCCGGAATGTAAACAAACTCCACTGCCTACTTTGTACCTGGTGGGTTTCTAGCTGTAGGATGGGAGTCACGCTATGTCAGAGCTGGAAGGAACCTCAAAGATCACCACAGTGAGCCAACTCAAAATGCAGATGAAAAAGAGATGTCGAAGAGTAGAAGCAATTTGTTGAGGGACATACGACTGCTCAAGGGCAGGGGCAGCAAAGGGCATTGTGACCCTGGATGCCTGGCCCACACCTGTTTCCCTTCCACCACATCAAACCGCTTACCTTTATTCGAAGGACAAAGGACGGCATGCTTACTTTTACTTCAGGCAGTGAGCTTTGCCAAGGTGCTAAGACTTCTCTGAACCCGTCATCAGCTTCTGTTGTTTTAACTTGTAAATGAACGAAAAGAAAAAGCACTTGTGCATAATATTGCGTTATATTCATCTCAACCCAGATGCAGGACAAGTACTCCAAAAGTGGCATAGCTTGCTTCTTAAAGGACGATGACAGTTCTTGGGATGCCAGTGATGACGAGAGTATGATCAATCCCTGCTGGCATGTGAAGTGGCAACTCCGTCAGTTTGTTAGAAAGGTAAGTGAACCACGGGGTCGCTTTACCAGCAGGCATAGAAGGTCAGAGGAGAAGGACTATTTTAGATAAAGTCTAGAGTCCTTATTTTGTAAGGGAGGAAACGGGGGCCCAGAGTGTTTAAGTGATTGTCCCCAAATTCACTGAACTAGGAAAAGATGGGACAGCACCAAACAGTGGGTCCTGATCAACTCGTGGTCTAGAGTTTATTCCTCTCCTCCAGAGACCTCCTTCATCTAGTCTAAACTTTTTATCTCACCTTGTGGAAACTCAGGCACAGACGGAGCAATGTGTTCAAGGTCACACGACGATAAAGGACGTGTGTGATTTCTTTTTTTATTCAGAAGACAAAAGAAACCAAACAATGGTGTTTTATATTCTTCCCACATTGTTGTTCTCTGTTATTTTTGTTTTTTCTCTTCTTTTTTTTTTTTTTACAAACCCTTGTGTCGCCACATTGTTGTTCTCTGGAATTAAGTCTGTTTATTTTTGTATGCATATAGAGATGAAGAAAGAGGAAAGGAAGAGGGAAGAAAGAGATACTTTGAGAAATTGAAGGTGATGACATCTCAATTTACAGTTAATAAATGACACATTACAAAATATTATTTTCTGTTTGTGAAAGTTGCTTAAATAGGATCTCCAGCAGAAACTTTGTTAGCTAACAGTTTATTTCACTAAATATGATTACTTAATTATACTTTCAGTGACAGGACATATCAAATATAGTTTCTTCTCTCAGGCTGCTTCCTTATTTGTAAGATGGCATTAGTAACGTTTACCTTCTGCGTATCCGGAAAGGCCAGCTGTGAACACAAACATGAAAATTGTAAACTTCATTGTTTAAAAAAATTACTGGGGACATTCCCAGGGTAGGAGGAGGATGTGTTTTAAAGAAATGATTGTAAGTCTATTGTCTGGTACTCAGTGTGCCGTTCCATAGAAACAGTGTTGTGTCGGTGGTTAGGCTCTGATTTATAACCCTAAGCAGTCCTCGCAGTAAAGCCCAGCATCACCTGTGATGCTATTCCTATGAGAAATGAAATCAGACTTCCACCTGGTTGTCCTAGAAACACATCTGCTCCACGGCTGCCCTGGAATCGTGGGCAGGATACCTGCTGCGCACAAGCTGTCCTGGAGCAGCTGGGACTCCATTGCCCCAAGTGAAAAACACCAGGAAAGACCCAGGGTTGGGGAAGTGTCCTGAGGAATGGGACCCCACGGTTCCTAGGATTAGAGGGAGCATGGCGAACCCACTGGTGGCAGAGGAGAGAAACTCAGAACTAGAGTAGAAATCTGGAGACCGAGGAGGGAGCTGGATGCTGGGCCTGGGAGTGGGGAGATGAGAGAAGCCGTGTGGGTGGGTTTTACAGGTCTCTTTCCTGCTCTTCCCCCATCCCTCCCATTCTCACATCCTGCCACTGACTAGAGAAGAGAGGGCGCACAGCGGTGGATGAGAGTGTAGGAGGGGAAAAGAGTTCCCCATTTTTCCAGGCACTGTGAAGTGAACAGACAATTTCCCATAAACATCCTATGCCCGTTATGTGTATTATCTCCCTTAATCCTCAAACAGCTCTGTGAGGAAGGAATCATTATTATCTTCTTTTTTAAAAAAAATAGATGAAGAAATTAAAGTAGTTCATATCAGTAACTTGAGTAACTTGAGTAAAGTTTCCCAGGGCTGCTAATGAACAGATTTGAATCCAGTCCATCTGATTGTACTACAATCTTTTTTGTTTTTTCTTGGTGGCACCGTGTTAAGGACCACCCTGTAGGACTTACCCTTTTCCCTTTCCTCCTCCTCCTTTTTCCTTCCTTCCTTCCTTTCTGGCCCAGAATGAGAGTGAGAGAGCTAATGTGCTGAGGCCACCCCTTGCTTCCCTTCCCAAATGCCAGTGTCCGTTGCCCTACAGGCAGCCCCCCATTATCTGGGGTCAGAGCTTTCGACAGAGGAAAAAGAAGAGAGCTTCTGATTTGGAGCAGGAGTGCAGAGGAAGGGAGTTTCTGACGGTTGTATAATTAACAACAGTGACGGGAAAGGTGGGCAATGATGGGCAAAGCCCCCAGGGGTGAGAGAACTGAGTGGAGAGGCGTTTAAAGCCATGGATGAGTCACGTCAGGGTCGGCTCATTTAACAGAAATGCTAGATTTCGTTCTTTATTACTGGTTTTCCCCACTGGTTAGCACAAAGAAAGCGATATGAAGTGTTTAGTAAGATATGGGAATTTGGTAAAATATCTTTATGTTGAGAATGTCTCAGCCACATTCTCAGAAATGAGAGAGTGACATGGTGCTACCAGGCCACCGCTGGATGGGCTGTGCGTGTCTGTGGGCACCATGAGAGAGAGGGAGTGTGCCTTACACCTTGAGTCTTGGGTATGTCCGATAATTTAAAGCTCCTGGACTCTGACACAGTGCCTTTATACATGTATGCCTGCAGCTACACACACAATGCACTATACACACACACACATGCAGACACACACAGACAATGCACTTATACACATGCATGCATGCAGACACACACACTCAGAAAGTGCGGTGACATGGCTACCGCATCCGTCAGCCAGAAGGAGACCTGGGGAACATTAGGCTGACCTAACTTGGAGAAGGATAACTCCTTGCTCCTGTGCTGCTCCAGGTGTGGCCTTTCAAAGACTTCATCCAGAAACAGAAGTCTCCCAGACAGAGGACCATCCTTCCATCCACAGTAGGGACAGCTGCCTCCATATTCATCCCAGCTCCCACCCCGCCCCCCCACACTCTACGCTTGGACAACTTAAAGCTGCCTAGGTTGATATCTTAGGTGGCAATTTTCTGTTAGGCATCAGCAAGAAGAGCCACAGACATTCTGTAGTCAGTCTAAATGCTTAGGGAAATTAACAAGCTTTATTCAATACTATTTGCAGATCATTTTGAGAACCTATGAGGAAACCATTCCTTCAATTCCAGGTAGTATTCTTTTTGTTGTTATTTTAATTTTCTACTGTCAGCCTTGTGATAGGGTGAATAGCTCTCCATCCTCTTTCTCTCTGCTCCCATCCACACATCCCACCTCTGACCACTGCTCAGTGTCTCAAGCTGCTTGATTCTATTTCCCTGTTTGCATTGGCAGCTAGAAAGCTCAGAAGCAAATCTGTGACCCACCTATGGTCTGAACTTCGTTTCATCTGAATTTTATTCTTCCAACGTGGATTTTCCTTTCACCTCAACTTCTTTGATTATTTATTTTTACCTTCTAATGTGGGTAGCTTTCTGGAGCATAGCTGGAAAAAAAGGGCTCCAGAGTTACCCATCTTCTCTGCTTCAGACCGCCCCTAGGCTCGAAGCCTTTCTTTATGCAAAAGCCTCTTGCTCCGTCATCTCTTTCCCAGCAATCCTTCTACGCCCCCGAAATCCTCATCCTGCAGTCCTCACACCTTGGCTATCTCCACTGATGGTCACCAGCCTGCTCTTGACCCACAACGCCCTTCATTGTTATTGCCCAGGCCGGCTTCTCTAGTCCTGCAACTGGCTTCTTCCATTCCTGGATTTTCACGTAAACACCTCCTTCTCATCCTCCATCCTCATCACCTACTCATCACCTCTCAGAGAGAACTTCCCTGACCAACTTTCTAAGTAAGTTCACCCACATCCTATTTTTTCTATCACACTTACCTTGTTCATTTCCTTTGATTGATATATATATAAATCAAAGGAAATATATAAATATTCTGTTTGTTCTCTCTGATTCCCTACTAGATTAAAGATCCACAAAGACAGAAAACATGCCTCTTTCTCTTACCTCTCTATTCCTAGACTTAACTGTACACCTCAAGCCTAGCAGATTCTCTCTTATCCCCCTGGTCCTTACCTGCACTGCCTTTGGTGTGTGTGTTCATGTGCATGTGTGTGTGTGTATTTTGACTGAGATGAAATTCACATAACATACAACTAACCATTTTGAAGCGCACAATTTGGTGGCCGTTAGTACATTCACGTTGTTGTGTCACCATCCCTCTCTACACAGAAAGTTCTTAATACATATTTTTTAAATCAATACATAAGTAAATACAACTGATGAATTAAATTTACTGCTGCTTTGCATTTGGCTCACCATAGCCCCATTTTCCCCTCTTAATAATCATACCAGCCTGCATACGTGTACCAGAGACTTACAGTCCTGGGGTACACCAGCCTGGCAGAGAAGAATCAGTTTTTTAATAGATATTTTATTAATGATGTCTTCCTAATTTTCAGCTATCCTTTTCCATTACAAGTAAGCTTTCTCATCACTTGACAATACCCACCATCCTTTATTAAATGGGCTTTATTAAATATGAAGGCAAGACCTGGTCCCAGGGTCTAAGCATTCTTTTTGGTCATTTCCCCAAAGGCAAAAACAGTATTAGGAATGTTGAACACTACTTCTCTTCTAATGAGGAACACCAGATCCGTGGTCTACAGTAGATGCATGTACTACTTTCAGTGTTGGAAGAAAAATACTCTTTTTTATTCATCCCAGTGGGGCATAGAAATCATATACTCCTCAGTATACCAAGATGTATCCATGACACCCAAATATACATATTCACAGACTTCTTTTCCAGGAACTGTTTGCTATAGTCAGTAGGAAATGTCCTCTCTTCAGAATTTGCTTTTAAAGCTAGGCTTTCCCATATACTTGCAATGACCTCAAATGCAAGATATTTGTAACTGGATTCCATTACTGAATATTTTTAAATAAAGTGTTATGGTCTAGGGGCAGTCAAGGCATTATGAATTATTTATCAATGGTGGTTAAAAGTAAAAACCTTGAAAGCTGAGCATTCTGAGAGTAACATGTACTTCCGAGCTGTGTTTGGTTTTCAGTATCCTGCACACACCCACCTGTCCTGAATAAGTAACAACACCAGATAGATGGAGAGACTCGTTAGCATTCCTTCCTTGCCTATGAAATTTTATCACCTCCTTTCAGTTTCTTCTACTACTAGCCTAGATTAAAGCTTCCTGTTCTCAGACCTGATCAATTACAGCTGTCTGCTAAGTCGCCAATCTCCAGCCCTCTCACTTTCTACCCATCAAACCTTACTATGAGGTAGTTTAGCCTAAAGCACAACACATATCTTTTTGCTTCCCTGATCAAAATCTTCCAGAGTCTTCCCATGTCTGTAAAAATTCAAATCTCTTAGTCTAACATTCAAATCCTCTATAGTTTAAATCCTCATTCAAGCCTGAAACTGAACTCATCTGATGCCTGTGTCCCAGGAATTCTTTGTGCATCCTGCCTTGGGGACACTATTCTAGATCTCTGGGAATGCCCTTTTCCCATTGCTGTGGGTCCCAAGCCTCCCCAGCTCCACCCATTTCAGAGAATTGTCCTGCCCCTCAAATGCTTTCTTGCATTCCTTTGTTTATAGTTCTTTCTCCATCTTCCTAGAAGAGTGTCAGGTATAGATGTGATGGGCACTTTGGTTTGCTGGAGTACGTGAATGAAAGGGCCTTAGTCCAAACCCCCTCCCCTGACCTCAGCTCTCCAACAAATAGGAATTTTTCCCTCCCCTGAACACCCATCACCCTTCATTTCTATTTCTTATAGGTTAATTTTCACTTTCTAATTTGTCTCTTCCCTAAAAACTGTAAGTCCCTTGAGGGCTCAGTCAGTGTAATTAGTGATTAATCTTTGAAGTCCCTGCGGAGCACTGCCTTGTCCCTGGACATATTTGCTTGATGAAAATGTATAGTTTATCTCAACAACCAACGTAAACATCCTGGGAAGTTTGAGCTGATTTTTTTAAAGAGTAGTTTGCTGAATTTTTAGTCTTTCAGTCTGCTCCAAAATACTTCGGATGGTGGTCAATAAATGTTATTTATTTGTTATGATCTAGTGAATCAGTGATTTTTATGCTCATATACCGGTTATCATGACCATTATGTCATTTCATATTCCCTTTGGGAGGTGAGAGAAATGACTGTTGGATACCAGTTTGTAGCATCTCTGGACAATTGTTATCACTGCTACTCCTTTAGAGTAGGTAGTATCTAGCAGGAGGAAAAAATAATTGAGATGATAAAAATTGGTATCACTCTGTTTCTATATATAACTCAAAGTGGAAATTTGCCATTAGTTCATTTTAAATGCCTTAGCAGGAATATTATAAGTCCACAGTTTTGTTGTTATTATTGTAGTTTAGGAAAAGGGTCAGAATCTTCACTTTGTCATATTCTAGTTGAACCTTACCCCTGAGATGCCGATAAATTTTAGCCCAAGTTACTGCTTATCCTTCCCATCTAAAGTACTTTTCAAATTCAACATAGGCTGAAGTGGACTGATTATAATACTAAAATGTAAATTGGTTTTATGAAAACCCATATAATCAACTTTGGGAGCCCAGTGTGCTTGCAATGATAAGATTGATAAGAGCTGTGAACAGCAATGTATCTGAGACGTGTTTGACAAGTGCTGATGATTCTTTGTCATTTCTCTTTTAGAAAAACAACAAAATATTCCTCACCTAGAAAGAGAAAAAGGTCCTCAGAGGGTAGCTGCTCACATAACTGGGACCAATCGGAAAAGCACATTCTCATTTCTAAGTAAGAGAAACAATGAATATATGGTTTAAAAGAAGGGAATGGAAGAATTTGTTCCAAATAATTTATTCTTTGAACTTGTATCGGAAATGTTTATATGGCTATATCTACAAAATGCTCAGTAGTAATCAAGTCTCAGGTTGACTCTTTTCAGAAGCAAGATTACAAGATGAATAGCTTAGTTACTGCCCTGGCATAACTGGCTTCAGGAAAATTCTGAAGTGGAAGTGGGAGAACTTTGAGTTTCCCATGCCCCCATTTTTGCTTTTCTTCTTCTTTTTTTTTTTAAAGTAATTCCTCTCTCTTTCATCAAATCTTTCTCCTCTTCAAAGGTTCTAAATCAGTCATCTACTTTCCCCATGAGTCACCAAGGCCTCCCAGTGGCATTTGTATTAGGTTGAACCATAAAATGTTGGCCAATATTTGACCACCTTGCATTTACAGAAATGTCAGTTTCATATGATTTAACCAAATAGGTTAAGCCTAATTATTAGCTGTAGAAAAGGTGTCCATATACTGCTGTGGTTAGTGCATGGGTCTTGTAATCTAAATACCCACATTGGAATCCCAGCTACTCCTTACCTAGTTCTTTGTTTTGAGCAAATTACTTAACACAATCAAGCTTCATCTTCTTCATATACAAAGTAGAGATAATCTTTAACTCATAAAAGAGTGAAGATTAATGCAAAATGCTGTTGCACTGTAAGTACTCAATAAGTAGTGCTTTTATTATTGTAAAAAGTTTCGTCCCAGGTTAAAGAAATTTCAGTCATCAGTTAATGAATGAAAGGTTGTTGGGGGTTTTTGTTGGTTGGTTGGTTTTTGTTTCTTTTTTCTGGGCAGTTGCCTTCATGGTATTCCTGAACTCATGTTTTGTAAATCATTGACATGTTCTGCCTATGAGTGAGATCGTTATTTCACTATTCCTGTTTACTATTCATCAATTAATATAGTTGTTTTCAACTCTTGAAAAACTCAATTTTGCGTCAATCATGGAGATGAGCCCAAAGTTTAAAAGAGTATCATATCTTAGTAAGGCCCATCTTCATTCAAAGTCTTTGGGATCTGAAGATCTTTAAATCTGGGCTCTTTTTGCCAAACCTTGTACCCTGTCTTATTGGACAGTCATTTCTAGCCTTCTGCTTGGATGGTGCTTTTGCCACTGGGTTAGAGAAAGACCAAGGAGGAATCCAAAAAGACCTAAAAGAATAGCAGGAATTTATGAGCTCTAGGCTTGAGGAAATAGATATGTTTCTTTTGGTTTCCTTCTACATCGTTGATCTGAGCTCACCAGCACAGGAAAGGAGGCAGGGGTCCTGGACAGAAATTCTTCGCAGGAGTAAAGATTGCCATCTTAGTGAACCATTCCCGTGCTACTATTCAAAGTAGATGAGGTACAAAAAAGTAGGGGACTTCCAACAGATCACAGTGATACGGGAGCCTCCAGATTTCTATATGACTAGAATTTAGAATCCTTGGAAGATCGAAGGAGCAAGAAGTTTTATAATAGATTAAAATTCTTTACAATCCCAACCAAGAATTGGCTAGCCACAGCTATTGGGAAACTTCTTGTTTTGCTACAAGCTAACTTTATTTTTCTCTAAACTTCATCCCAGGCTCCAAGAATGAAAAAGCTTTGGGCCAGAAAATAAATTCCTGGGAGTCGTCAAGAAAAGGACATTCATTCTTGAATAATTTGCACTTGAGGAATGGAGAGCTGGTTATACACCAAACAGGGTTTTATTACATCTATTCCCAAACATACTTTCGATTTCAGGAAACTGAGGAGGTTTTGGGAACAGTTTCAACAGAAGAGAACAGAAAGAAAAACAAACAAATGGTACAATATATTTACAAATGCACGAGCTATCCTGACCCCATACTGCTGATGAAAAGTGCTAGAAATAGTTGTTGGTCTAAAGATTCAGAATATGGACTCTATTCCATCTATCAAGGTGGAATATTTGAGCTTAAGGAAAATGATCGAATTTTTGTCTCTGTAACTAATGAGCAATTGATTGACATGGACCAAGAAGCCAGTTTTTTCGGGGCCTTTTTAATTGGCTAAATGATCTGCAAAGAAAAAACAGTGCCCCCAGAGAGACCTTTCACTTTTCAGAGTGATACACTGTGAAAAGACTGCAAAAGAGCTGACAAAATAAGGCAGCCTGAGCAGAGCAGCCTCAATCACGAGACTCTACAACACAAGCTTTTTTGGTATCTCTGAAAAGTGACCAACGTATTCCAAGACAGAGAAACTGACAAAAGACCTTCTGAGACTCTACCTGATATCAGCTTGCTAGCAGAAATCTAGAAGGTTCTCAGTTTACAAACATTTGTGTAGCAATTAACGTCTTCCGCCTTAACCGTCTACTCTTGCGAAGATACCAGAAGACTGAAAGTTCACGGTCAGGGTATGCAGTGTGCCAGGGGAGTTGGTGCAGTGTGGGGCCTTGTGGGAGTTGTCCTGTACCCTCGTACTCTTGGAAGTAAGAAAATTCCATTCGAAATCGTATCATTTCACTAAACAAATTAAAGTTATGTTTAGTGAACAAGGAACTATTTTCAGTTGGCCAAAACGTTCGTTTGGGTTTTATGTAATCATATGTAAAAATCCGAACGAACGTTTTGGCCAACCCGATATTTCTGAATGGCTTGTGCTTTTCACTCCCAGAAGTCAGGCTGACCGAAAGCACTGAAGGTATTTTTGATAAAAGACTCAAATGAATGATAAGCTAATCAGAAATCGGGAATTTGGCCCCTTGTGAGCAGGAGAACTGGGAAAGTGGGAAAAAAAAAAGAACTGTTTGATAATGTAACTTAAGGATGGGCAAGAATTAATTATGACTCTATATTTTTATACTAAAATTTAAAAATACGTGTTTCTTTTTCAATAAAAATGACGTTAAAATATGTAGTTTTTGTGTATCTAGTACTTATGTTTTATAGTAACAAGATTACTAATGATGGGGAAAAGGAATTCTTATCTCTTTTTCATGGTATTGTTTATCTGACATGTGTTACTGAAGAAAGAAAGAAACTGCTCACTTTTTATATAATGTGATTAAAAGATATCAGTCCTTTCCTTTATAGTTAATGCTTTTGTTATAGGTTGAATTGTGTCCCCACAAAAGGTATGTAGAAGTCCTCCTCCCCAGTACCACAGAATGTGACCTTATTTGGAAAGAAGTCGGTTGCAGATATAATTAGTAAAGATGAGGTCATAGTGGAATAGGCTGGGTCCTCAATATTGTATAATGTGACTGGTGTCCTCATTATTTAAAGAAGGAAATTTGGAAACAGGAACAGAGACACACAGGGAAAACTCCATGTGGCAACAGAGGCAGAGATTGGAGTGAGGGAGTTGCAAGCAAGGAGCTCCAAGGATTGACGACCATCATCAGAAGTTCAGGAGACAAGAAAATATTCTACCCATAGCCTCAGAAATCTACCGACACCTTGATTTTGGACTCCTGGCCTCAAGAACTGTGAGAGAATAAATTTCTGTTGTTGAAAGCCACCCAGTCTGTGGCACTTTGGTTCAGCAGCCCGAGGAAGCTAATACAGCTTTGTACACTATGTTCAAGAGATCTATTTTTACCGATGCGTACAGATATCACCATCTATATATTTTTCTGAAATCTTTAAATTTGGCCTTTCATAGTTTGATAGTGGGATTCAACTGTAGTTTAATTCATGTGTGATGAGCTAGGGATGGAATTTTATCTTTTGCCATATCAGGGACCAGTTGTCCAGCACTGTTCATTGGCTAGTCTACTCTTTCCCCACTGATTTTAAGGTTTAATATCATATACCAACATCCCAGGAGGTCTGTTTCTGTGCTCACTTTCTTTTCCTATTGGCCTGGTTGTCCGTCCTTGCACCCATACCATCCATTTTTAAAAACTGTGATAAAATACAAATAACATAAGATTTACCATTTAACCATTTCTGAGTGTACAGTTCAGTGGCATTAAGTACATTCACACTTTTGTGCAACCATCACCCCATTCATGTCCAGAGCATTTCATTACCCCAAACTAAAACTTTATAACCATTAAACAATAATTCCTCATTTTCCCTTCCTCCCGCCCCTGGTAATCACCATACTACTTTCTTTATGAATTTGACTGTCCTATGTACCTAATGTAAATAGAATTATGCAATATCTGTTCTTTTATGTCTGGCTTATTTGACTTAGCATAATGTCTTCAAGGTTCAATCCATGTTGAAGTATGTGTCAGAATTTCATTTCTTTTTTTAAATTTTTTTAATTTAAGTACAGTTAATTTACAATGTTATGTTAATTTCTGTAGTTCATTTCTTTTTAAGTCTGAATAATATTGCATTGTTGGAAAATACATTCCACATCCTGTTTATTCATTTATCTGTTGATCATACTCTGGCTTTAGTGGTTGCTATTTGCTTTTCTATAAATCTTGATGTCTTGTATGTATGTTCTCCTTCTTTAGTCCTCTGTTTCAAAATAGCATGGGCATTTTGGTTTTTAACTCACAAACTTTGTGCAACATAAGTATCTTTCATTATGACTTTTTCAGGCAAAGTTTAGAAGGAAAAATGTTACGTCTGGCAGTTTAAATAAATATTCTGGGAAAAGCCTCAAATTACATTCCAAATACAGTTGGTACAGTGTCAGAACTACATGTAAACTTTTTTTAAATATAAATTTATTTTGTTTATTTATTTTTGGCTGCGTTGGGTCTTCGTTGCTGTACGCAGGCTTTCTCTAGTTGCACCGAGCAGGGATTACTCTTCATTGTGGTGCGTGGGCTTCTCATTGCAGTGGCTTTTCTTGTTGTGGAGCACGGGCTCTAGGCGCGCGGACTTCAGTAGTTGTGGCACGCGGACTCAGTAGTTGTGGCTTGAGGGCCCTAGAGCACAGGTTCAGTAATTGTGGCGCACGGGCTTAGTTGCTCTGCGGCATGTGGGATCTTCCCGGACCAGGGCTTGAACCTGTGTCCCCTGCATTAGCAGGCGGATTCTTAACCACTGCGCCACCAGGGAAGTCCCTACATGTAAACTTTTTGAACAGTCTGAATAATGACTATTGCCACCCAGAAGGAAAACAGCCCATTTGAACTAACGGGGAAGGAGATAGGAAGGAATGAAGGAAAACAGTCAGACTTCTTAGATTTTATAAGACGGGCTCATAGAGCTATTGAGCTACGGATATGTGATATTCTTTAAGACAAGGGAGGAAGGACCCCAAAGATGATTTAGAGATCATTAAGCCTTCTTCCTTGGTATCAAAAGGTGGGAATCTATCACTTCAGTTTTAACAGAACAATTCTTGCCCATTGCTGTGTGAGTGGTGCCACCCAAAGCCATGGGAGCAATGCTACCAAAGCTATGGAGGCCAGACCCCTGCCCAGCAGAGCCCTTGGGCAAGGCTGCCTCTGCCTAGATGTCAAAGAATGGAGCCGTCTAGAGCTGTGGGCATCCAGCCTAGGCAGAAGACCACAGAGTGGATGAGGTTACTGCAGAGAGCCCCTGCCAGGGAAATGCCCAATGGAGCCATGAGGGTGTGGCTGCTCCCGTGACCCCAAATCAGTAGAGCCACTGGTATGCAATTCCAGACAGGGAGAGCTGCAAGCATGCAAATCAAGGCAGTGAGAATTGCTCCCTGGACGGCCCCCAGCAAAGCTGTGGGCAGGGATGCCCCAGTGTGCACGAGAGGTCATTCCCATATCCCAGGGGCTCTGGCAGGCAGAGTATCGGGTGGAAGATTATTCTCAAGCCTTAAGATTTGATGTTTGCCTCGTTGGGTTTGGACTTGCTTGGGCCCTGCCACCCCCTTCTTTCCTATTTCTCCATTTAGGACTGGGAGAGTTTACCCTATTGCCTGTCCTGCCATTGTATTTTGGAAGCACATAACTTGTTGTATTTCATGGGTTCACAGCTGGAGGGCAATTTACCTCAGAATGAATCGTACCTTGAGTCTCATGCACATCTGATTCAGGGGATATGTATATGAGACTTTAAACTTGGACTTTTGAGTTAATGTTAGGAGGCATTAAGACTTTGGTGACTGTTGAGATGGAATGAGCATATTTTGCAAGCAAAATGGACATGAATTTTGGGGAGCCAGAGACATAATGCTGTGGGCTGAATGTTTATTTCCCTCCAAAATTCATATGTTGAAATCCTAATGCCTTATGTGATGGTATTAGAGCTGGGGCTTTTGGAAAGTGATTAGGTCACAATGTGTCCACCCTCATGAATGAAATTAATGTCCTTATATAAAAAGAAGCCTGAGATAGGTACCTTATCCCTTCTGTCATGTGAGGATACAATGAGAAGTCTGTCACCCAGAAGAGGGTCCCCACATGACCATGCTGGCACCCTGATCTTAACTTCTAGCCTCCAGAACTGTGAGAAATTAATTTCTTTTTTTTATAAACCACCCAGTCTGTGGCACTTTGTTATAGCAGACCAGATGGACTAAGACATTCTCCAGTCAGAGGACAAAAAGTGGTTGAATGAATTAAAAAATAAAATCCAGCAATATGCTCTCTACAAGGGACTCACTTTAGATTTAAAGATATACGTAGGCTGAAAGTGAAGGAACGGAAAAAGATATCCTATGCAAATGGTGACCAAAAACAGCAGGGTTGGCTACACTTATATTAGGCAAAATAGACTTTAAGTCAAAAACTGTCTCTATAGACAAAGAAGGTCATTATATAATGATAGAAGGTCAATTTAACAGGAAGATATAGCAATTATATGTACATATCCAACATCAGAACACCTAAATGTATAAAGCAAGTACCAACAGATCTGAAGGGGGAAATTGACAACAATACAATAATAGTAGAGACTTCAATATCCCACTTACAATAATGGACAGAACACCTAGACAGAAAATCAATAAAGAAACAACTGACTTTGTTGTTTGACAAAACACTGATGAAGGAAATTGAAGATGATACAAAGAAATGGAAAGTTGTCCCATGTTCTTGGATTGGAGAATTAATATTGATAAAATGTCCATACCACCCAAAGCAATCTACAGATTTAATGCAATCCCTATCAAAATACCCATGACATTTTTCACAGAACTAGAACAAATAATCCTAAAATGTAAATGTCCATAAAAGACCCCAAATTGCCAAAAAGATCTTGAGAAAAAGAAGAAAGTTGTCAGTATCACACTCCTGACTTTAGACTATACTACCAAGCCACAGTAATCAAAACAGTATGGTACTGGCACAAAAGGAGAAACATAGATTGATGGAACAGAATAGAGAGCCCAGAAAAAACCCCACATATCTATGGGCAGTTAATATATAATAAAGGAGGCAAGAATATATAATGGAGAAAAGACAGTCTCTTCAATAAAGGGTGCTGGGAAAATTGGACATCTATATATAAAAGAACAAAATTAGAGTATTTCCTCATACCATATACAAAAATAAACTCAAAATGGATTAAAGGGGGCTTCCCTGGTGGCGCAGTGGTTGAGAGTCCGCCTGCCGATGCAGGGGACAGGGGTTCGTGCCCCGGTCCGGGAGGATCCCACATGCCGCAAAGCAGCTGGGCCTGTGAGCCATGGCCACTAAGCCTGCACGTCCGGAGCCTGTGCTCTGCAGCGGGAGAGGCCACGGCAGTGGGAGGCCCGTGTACCACAAAAAAAAAAAAAAAAAAAAAATGGATTAAAGACCTAAATGTAAGACCTGAAACCATAAAACTCCTAGAAGAGAACATAGACAGAACACTCTTTGACATAAATCACAGCAATATTTTTTTTGGATATGTCTCCTAAGGCAAAGAAACAAAGGCAAAAATAAACAAATGGAACCTAATTCCATTTAAAAGCTTTTGCACAGCAAAGGAAACCATGATGAAACGAAAAGACAGCCTACTGAATGGGAGAAAATATTTGCAAATGATATGACCAAAAAGGGGTTAATATCCAAAATTATATAAACAACTCATACAACTCAATATTTTTAAAAAACCAAACAACCTGGTTAAAAATGGGCAGAAGACCTGAATAGATGTTTTTCCAAAGAAGATATACGGATGGCCAACAGGTACATGAAAAAATGTTCAACATTGCTAATCATCAGAGACATGCAAATCAAAACCACAATGAGATAGCACCTCACACCTGTCAATTCTTCTATTCCACATAGTACAGGAAGTCCTATCCAGAGCAATTAAACAAGAAAAAGAAACATTAAAAAGCATCCAAACTGGAAAGGAAGAAGTAAAATTTTCTCTGTTTGCAGATGACATGGTCATATATGTAGAAAATCCTAAAAACAACAACAAAAAAAAAACTTTTAGAACTAATAAATGAGTTCAGCAAATTTGCAGAATACAAAATCAACATAAAAAAGTAAGTCACATTTCTATACAAAAACAACAAACTATCCAAAGAGGAAATTAAGAAAACAATTACATTCCCAATAGTAACAAAAAGAATAAAATACTTAGGAATTAACTTAACCAAAGAGATGAAAGATTTAATATTGTTAAAATGTCACTTTTATGCTAAGTGATCTACAGATTCAGTGTAATCTCTATCAAAATCCTCGTATCATTTTTTACAGAAATAGAAAAATATTTTTTAAATTTTATGCAGAACCATAAAAGACCCTGAATAGCCAAAGCAATCTTGAGCAAGAAGAACCATGCTGGAGGCATCACACTTCCTAATTTCAAAATATATTACAATAATCAAGAACAGTGTGGTACTGGCATAAGGATAGACAGGTGGACCAATAGAATAAAACTGAGAGTCCAGGGCTTCCCTGGTGTGCAGTGGTTGAGAGTCCGCCTGCTGATGCAGGGGACATGGGTTCGTGCCCCGGTCTGGGAAGATCCCACATGCTGCAGAGCAGCTGGGCCCATGAGCCATGGCCGCTGAGCCTGCGTGTCCGGAGCCTGTGCTCTGCAACGGGAGAGGCCACAACAGTGAGAGGGCCGCGTACTGCAAAAAACAACAACAACAACAAAATAACCAAAAAAAATAACTGAGAGTCCAGTAATAAATGCATACATCTTTGTCCAGTTGATTTTTGACAAGTGTGTCAATGCCCTTCAATGGGGGAAAGAATAGCCTCTTTAATAAATGGTACTAGAACAACTGAATATCCATATGCAAAAGGATGAACGTGGACTTCTACCTTAACCCATATAAAAAATTAACTCAAAAATGATTATAGACCTAAATATAAGATCAAAAACTACAAAATTCTAGAAAACATACAGGTAAATCTTGTATTTGTATTTGGCAATGGATTTCAGATATGACACCAAAAGTAAGAGCAACAGAAGAAAAAAATAGACAAACTGGACTTCATCAAATTAAAAACTTTTGTACATAAAAAGAACATTATCAAGAAAGTGAAAAGCCAACCTATAGAATGTGAGAAAATATTTGCAATTCACATATCTGATAGGGGGCTTAACAGCCGGACCAC